GAATTAACAAGCATTAAGAATCAGTTTAATCTGTCATTTAAGCATATAGACAATCATTCCCATGATGAATAACACTTAAACCTCTAACAACCTTGGTTCAGACATTTCATCAAACACTTTTGGTGCATGAAATGCCCAGAATCTAGACCACATATGATTTGTATGGATCTAGCATTAAGAACAGGTTGTAGAGAATGAAATATGCATGATCTAACCCCTAAGCTCACTAATCTACCACTTAAGCACCCTAATCTACATATCTAAGACCTTAATATGGGATTACTCACTAATCATGATCAACACACTAGATCCTTTGCAAGATGTGTTGTTAATCATGATTAGAAGTGTAATTTGATGATGAGAAATGATAAAAACAAGATGGAAAACACTCTTGAAATCGATATTAAACTCAAAAGCAAGGTATTAACAAGTGGTTCTTTCACCAAAAAGGAAAAGGAGACTAAAGATAGGATAAGGTTCTCTCCAAATTAGGTCTAAAAATTATTTATAGAAGCCTTGGATGAACCGGGTCAGCCCGGAACAAACCGGGTAGTGACCCGGCTTTGGTGGGTAAAGAAGAAGTTTACGGTCTAGCAGGTTTTGGTCAGACCGTGGCAAGTGACCGTGTCAAGTCCTGTATCTCTTGTTCTTGGGTGAATCATGGTGCCATGGGTCTCCTCTGATCGTGATGCATGGGCGTGTCAAACGCCGAAAGATTGCACAAAGTTGCCACGGCCAAGTCTAAAGCCGTGGCGTGGAGACCGTGTCAAATGCCGAAAGATTGCATGAAGTTGCCATGACCAAGTCTGAATCCGTGGCATGTAGACCATGTCAAATGCCGAGAGATTGCATCACAAATGTTGTCTTGCCACGGTCAAGTGTAGACCGTGGCATTACCCCGTGGCAATTCCTGAATGCAAGTAAAATCCTTCCGCGACCAAGTGTTACCTTGCCACGGTCAAGTAGAGGCCGTGGCATGAAGATCGTGTCAAACCCTGAAGAACTGCAATCAAGTGCCATCTTTGCCTTAGCATAATTTCAAGGCCTTAATGAGGGTCATCAATCTCGCAACATTCAGGGCTCCTTGGACCACTTCGCGTTCAGGGAAGCATAACTTCTAGGGTACTTGTCTGAATGGTGTGATTCTAGTTTTAGAGGATAGAGGACTCAGACATATTCAACTTTGGTGAAGGAACCTTTGGTGCTTGGGAAGTGGAAGGTTTCCTGGAGGGCTCATCTTCGCAGTGCATTGACACGATCAGAAAGAGGCTTCAAGACATGTGTCCATTCCGGAAATGTTATCTTCTTGCTCATAGCTCCGAATTGAATGATCTCAGACGTTCTGGAAAGAGGACTCAAATATCTCGGATTCTGATGAAGGCCCTGTAAACTGAATCGGTCTGGAAGTGCACCGTCCTTTGCGTTCTTCGGAGCTCATCGGGTCGATCCAAAACGGCAGCGAGACAGGAGTTCCTTCCGACGAGCTTAACTCTCTGCTCACGCCTCCAAATCCTATGATTCCACCTGCTCTGGAACCATGATCCAATCTTCTCCAACTTTGATGAAGCACCCGACAACTGTATCGGATAGGAAGGTTCCCCGGACAGGCGATTTCGGAAATATGTCTGCACCCGGAATTTTGGCCGAGAAATTTAACTAGCCGGTATGCGTTTTGGCCGAGAAATCCACCCGCGGTACATGCGAATGACCGAGAAAAACCTTCCTGCGGTACGCGAGAATGGCCGAGAAACTCCAAAATCCATTTTCACCATCTTTTAAGCCTTGATCACCATTTCTCTTCCTGGATTCATCTTTTCAACTCCAAATAGCTCCAAATGCACCTGATAAACACTCCAAACATGCAAAGACTCACTGGGACCTAATGCAACTCCTAAGTCCTAAAACAAACTCTAAGGACCTAAAATGCATGGAATAAGATATGATTTAGAATGAAATATACAACCTAAATGATGTAAATTATGAACATATCAATAAACCCTAGAAATTTCGGATCCCTAAATTTTTCCTTAGCAAATTTTTAGTTGTGCGAGTTTTGGCTCACACATCCGCCTAATAGTCTCTCTATCTATTTTTAAGACCAAAATATCGGTTCTAATTTTCTGTCAGTGATATGTTTTCCAAAAACGATCGTTATGCTTTCACACGATCCTGATCATATGGTAAAGAATTTCTACTCATATCATATTTCTAAATGATGGTTATCAATGCTTACCTAGAATAACATAGGATGGTTTAATTTATCTTGTAATTCTGTTTTTCAAAAATATTTATTATCAATGCTTATCTAGAATAATTAAGGATGATTTAGAATAAGAAACTAAATATGTAAATTAAAAATAAAATCAAATTCAAAATGCAAAATAAATAACAGAAAAATTTACATATCCTCCATGTTAATATCGAAGGTTTCAAACATCTCCTCGTCTGTTTTACCAGCTCTCTGCGACTCCTCCCTCAGGCCAGATGTTTAACAGCCTCCCATTTACTGCTTCTGTATTGGGTCTGCAATGAGAGGGTTGCTTGCGGCGAGGATGTCGAACAGGGCGTTGTAGCCCTAGATTTTCTCTTTTATACATCGTCTTCATGGTGTTGAGCTCTTGCCGTAGAACCACCAGATCCTCAGCGCTCTGGTGTGACAAAGACAAAGCGACTGGATTATCCCGGATGGATCACATCCCTCAAACCCTTCTCTTCTTCTTTGGAGAAACCTATAAATAAAATCAATTAACATAGTAATTTGTGAGAAATTTTGTAAAGAAATATACTTATAAAAAAAATGTTAAAAAATTATCTCTTCATATATCTTGTCCATCTCGGCAACAAACAAAACCAGTGTCGACCGGACCGAGCTACCCCTAGGTGATAGCTGCTGCTGCTGCTGCTGAGATAGCTGAGTTTGACGCTCATCTATCTTTGCCCTTGGGTCATTGTAACCACTCAACCATATACCCTCTTTAACTGCCTCTGTAAGAGCCATGTATTCAGTCTCTGCCGTGGACAATGCAACAACCCTCTACAGCCCTGATTTCCAACTGATCACTGTACCTCCTGCAGTAAATACATAACCGGTAACAGACATCCTCTTGCATTTGCCTTCAGCATAATCTGAGTTGCAAAATCCTCGATCTCAAATTTGTATTGTTTCCGGATACAAAACTTCTTACTCTTAGTCTCCTTTATATATTTCAGAACCCACTTGACGGCCATCCAGTGTTCTTACACTGGTTTCCCCATGTATCTGCTGATTACCCCAACTAGATAAGCCAAATCTGCAGGAGTCCCAATCATTGAGTACATAACTGATCCCAGCGCACTTGCATAAGGTACCATCTTCATATAATCTGCTTGATCCTTAAGCTCCTCATCCGTCGCAGCTCTGAGTTTGAAATTCCCCCCCCCCCCAGTGGTGTTTTTACTCCTTACACTGATCCATGTTGAAAGATTTCAGAACCTTGTCAAGATATTGTTCCTGAGATAGCTCTAGAACCCCCTTCTGTCTGTCTTTCTTGAATTTCATGCCCAAAATCTTCTTAGCTTCTCCCATATCCTTCATTTCAAACTCCGACTTCAGTAGCTTCTTTAGAGAATTGATTTTCTCTTTATCCTTGCAAGGGATAAGTATATCATCTATGTACAGCAACAAGTAGATATATGACCCGTCCTTTAGCTCCTGATGGTAGATGCAGTAATTTTATTTGCGCCTTATATACCCTGCACTGAACATGAATGAAAGAAATATTTGATTCCACTGTCCTGGAGATTGCTTTAAACCGTAGAGATATTTTCTTAAGAAAGACACACAACATCAGACCATTCCTCTCATAACCTTCAGGTTGCTCCATGAGAATGTGTTCCTCTAAATTTCTGTGAAGAAAAGATGTCTTGACATCCATCTGCTCCAGCTCCATATCATGTTCAACCACAAACGACACAATATCATTCGGATTGAGATATGTTTAACCACAAGAGAGAATATTCCTTGATGTCAACTCCTTCTCTTTGTGAATATCCCTTTGCAACTAACCGAGCCTTAAATCTTGGTTCCTCAACCCCCTCTATCCTTGGTTTTCTTTGTTCAAACAAAAGCATGTCTCTGCTTTTGTAGAAACCTTCTGCATCTTCTAGAGTCTTTTTCCTTGGTTTAAACCTCTCAGCAAAACCTTCTTCTCTTCTCACTGCAGTAACTTTGTTTTTAGCTGAGATCTCTTTAAACCCTTTTCTTGGAGGGTAGTTATGAAGAAAAAACCAACAATGATTCTCTCTACTATCACATCACCGGGTTCATGGCTTCTCGACGGAAAATCTTTCTCAAGCCCAGGTCCTTATTCTCCTCCATATCCGATCATGATTCCAGAATTCCTTCTTCAGAACAAATTCATGGCTTCTGATGTTTTGTGTTTTGTTTTGTGTTTTTCGGGGTATAATTTTAGAATTTACGGATTGTTTTTCTTTTTCGGTTTAGGATCATGTTTGATTGGTTTATGATTAGTTTATAAACTGTAATCATGAAATTTAAAATTGGTGTGTATATAGATATAGAACTTCTTTTGTGTGGAGGTTTATGTATTCTTACACATCAACTGGAGTAGTTTTAGACAGAACCTCAAACGTTGCGTGAATTGAGTAAAGATACGAAACTTCCGAAGTAATATAGCCCGTCAACCCAATTTGCATCAACAGAAACGTTAGTTGTTGTTACAACTCATTTCTTTGTTTTTTTCAAGATGTAATCTCTAGCCTTTGGTTTTTTATTTATTTTTTATTTATTTTTGGAATTTTTCCTCTCAAAGTCAGTCGGAAGAAGACATCAGTGTCCACTTTTCTTTTAAACTGGACGCTTGGTTTAGATATTCTTGCTGCTATAATTTTCTCCTTTATCTGAATTTTCTTAATCGATCTATCTACTTTGACCAAAAAAATTTCTTAATCGTCTGTCTTATTGCCTACTTTGCGAATTTCCTAGGCACTAAGAGAAAGAAAGAGAATTCAATAATTAACCTGCCAAGAGGAATAAATTTCAAGTAAGCAAGCAACAATGTCTCTTGCTCTTTGTCATCTTTATGTTTTTGTTTCAAATTCGATTTACCCCTTCATGATTCACTTACAAAGCATGTATTTCTATGAAGTGGTTGCGTCATTTAATATCCTTAAATATTTGTCCAGGTATGGCTGAATCCAATAGAAAAATTCGGGAGCGATGGAGCTACGATGTGTTCTTAAGTTTCCGTGGATCAGATGTGCCGGATGGTTTTATAGCCTTTCTTTATGTGAGCCTAAAACTATCTGGGATATACACATTCAAGGACGATCAAGAACTAAGATTGGGAGAAAGGGGAGGTACGGGCTTAGGCCCAGAACCTCTTAGTTATTCAAAAAAAAAAAGGATTGGGAGAAAGCATTTCCCCAGAGCTGTTGAAGGCCATTGAAAATTCCAAATTCTCCTTGTTATTTTATCAAAGAGCTATGCTTCATCAGCTTGGTGCCATGATGAACTTAAGCACATTATGCAATGCCAAGGAAGCGACTCTGAACATATTGTGCTCACAATTTAGTACGATGTTTCTCTAGGAGACATATACCATCAAAATGAGTCATTTGGTGAATCCTACGATAAGCACAAAAGCTGTTACATAGAGAGCAAATTGCATCAGCGGAAGACAGTTTTAAAATAAGTTTCAAGTTTGGCTGGGACTTTCCGGGTTGACACTACACTGCTGGTTTGTTCCTTATATATCATCATACTTATCATTGTTAAGATACTTTGACTAGATTTCTTTTCACCATTTCAACCACTAGTTTTGTCCCTTGTGTTGCAGTAGTGACACTGATTTGATAGACCTTGTGAATGAAAGTATTCTCAGAATGCTGTCTAGTGCATACTTGCATTTACCAACAAACGTCTACTTTGTATCAATGAACTTATGTGCTTTGGTTGGGATGATGTCCATATTATCAGAATTGGCAGAGAGCTTATGTGTTTTGGTTCGGATGATGTCCAGATTATCGGAATTGGTGGAATGGGTGGGATCGGTAAAATGATGCTAGACAAGGCTGCATATAATAATTACGCACGTCAAATTGAAGGAACAAGTTTCATAGAAAACTTTGGGGAATACGTAAAGAAACTTGAATGGAAGGTTCATATTCGGCAAACACTTCTTTCTGATATCCTAAGGAGGCATAAGACAGTGTTCAACAACACAGATCATGCAGTAAAACATAGATTCCGCAATAAAAAATTACTTGTTGTATTTGATGATATTGAAGACATGAAGCAGCTTCATCCAATCGCAACCGATTCGAACTGGTTTGGGCCTGGAAGTAGGATAATCATTACAAGTAGAAACACGCATTTGTTAGATTAGCTCAGAGTTTTCAATATAAATATTCACCGAAGGCACTGAATGTTGAGGAATCTCTTGAACTTATAGATCGGCATGCCTTTAGAACAATTGAACCTCCTGAAGCATTTCGTCAGTTCTCAGAAAAGTTGGATGAATACTGTGGAGGACTACCCTTGGCTATGGAAGTCTTGGGTGCTTTCTCTTCAGAGAAACATTTCTGAGTGGAAAAGCACATTAAAATAATTGAAAAGAATACCTGATGATAACATTTAAGCAAAGATTCAGATCAGCTTTGATGCACTAAACGCTGTACAGAAAGATATATTCTTGGATATTTCTTGTTTCTTCATTGGAATGAATAAAGACTATGTAAGTTGCATATTGGATGGATGCGAATTAGAACCTGGCATAGGGCTCAGTGTGCTAAAAGAAAGGTGCCTCATTACAGTCCATGATAACAGGCTGTTGATGCATGACTTATTACAAGACATGGGAAGACAAATTTTCCAAGGAGCATCTCGGAACTGTGAGAGATAGAGTAGGTTGTGGGATCCTAATAATGTTATTGATGTATAGACAAACCATACTGTAAGGAACAAAATCTCTATGCATTCTTTCTCTCAGTTAGGCATTATAAGGGAGACTTGGGATAACATTTCTCTAATAAAAAAGCTTGTTTTCATTGTTTGGGAACTGATGGCATTGAATGACTCAGCCTAAAGACCGAAGTTACAGCTGTCAAAAATTTGGAGGTTAAAGCATTTTCAAACTTATGGAGGCTTCAACTGTTATAGCTCAGTCATGTATTGCTCAACGGAAGCTATGGAGATTTTCTGAAAGGTTTACAATGGCTTTGCTTGTATGAGTTTCCTCTAGACTCCATCCCAAAAAACTTGCAGTTGAGAATCTTAGTTGCTTTGGACTTTAAGTACAACAACCTTAAACGACTTTGGGATGATCAAAAGATGAAGGTTTAAAATAAATTATTTTAGGTTTTTTGAAATTTGAAGTTAGAGAAGTTAGTCTTCATTGTTGTGGTTGATTATTCTTTTCTACTGTTTGTTATTTTTGCAATATCCACAGGTTTTAAAAAAGTTAAAATACCTTGACCTCAGTCATTCTGTCCAGCTTACAGAGACTCCAGATTTCTCTTATCTGCCAAAGCTCGAGAAGTTGCTCTCGATAAATTGTAAGAAATTGGTTCTTATTCACAAGTCGATAGGGGCTCTACATAAAAAGCTGGTACTATTAAATCTGGAAGGTTGCACCGAGCTTAGTGATCTCCCTTTGGAACTTTACACATTGAAGTCAGTGGAAACTCTCACTCTATCAGGCTGCTCGAAACTCGAGAGATTGGATGATGCTTTAGGTGAATTGGAATCCTTGGCAACTCTTAAAGCCAGTTCAACTGCTTTAAGGCAACTCCCTCTTTGTGTATCAACTGAAGAAACTAGACGAATTATCTCTGGATGGCTGCAAAGGATTATGGATAGACAAGAACTACACTCATTCTGAAAATCGTCCTCGAGCTGCTCTATCACTTCCATTTTCATTGAATGGATTAAACTTTTTGAAAAAATTAATGTTTATGTTCGTGCAATCTATCTGATGGATAAATTCCTAGAAAACTTGGGAGTTGTGCTTCTCTCGAGGAATTGATCTTGGAGACAACAACTTTCGCCATTTGCAAACAAATTTTGCTAGTCTTCAAAATCTACATATTCTTAGAGTGGATAGTTGCTCAGGACTCCAATAAATGTTCAGTTTACCAAAAAAGTTGAGATCTTTATATGCAAGTGATTATATCATGTTGGAAAGAACTCCAGATTTAACAGAGTGCACTTTGTTGAAATCATTGCACCTCACAAATTAATTAAATCTTGCTGAGACCCCATAGCTGAATAAACTGGAAAAGGTTGGAGTCATCCACATGGATGTGTAACCGTATATCAGATACTTATAGGAAAAGAATCATGCAGGTTTTTTTTTTTCCGCCATATCTCTCTTTATGTCATAATCTACTAAATTTATTCCTGATTCTTGATATTCGAACGACTGAACTGCCTTAGACTGCTTTACAGTTAGTAATGGTCACAGCAACGTGTCATTGGTTGTGGTTATATGATGGTTTTTTGTGTTACAGGGATGGGCTGTGGGTGCCAATGGGAGGGTTTTTATCCCAGGATCTACCCTTCCTAACAGGGTTAGCTTCAAGAATGTGATGAAGTCAATCTCTTTTACGGTGCCTAAAGCTCTGAATCCTGATCTGGTTGGGTTTACCTTGTGTTCATCATATGTGAGCCAGCAAGACAATGTGATTTCTAGAGACTCTCCAAAGATCAGAGTCAAAAATCAAACGAAAGGAAGTGTATGGAATGATGATGTAGCGTTATTGTCGTCTTATTGGGCTTTGGTGTTTGTGTTTTATTTGTTTATTCTTTTGGTGTTTTAGGAACAAGTGTTTTGAGATTTCTTTTATTTATGTGTAAGTAGATTTACATCAAGATGTTAGAGTGTTTTTCTCTTGATTGCTTTCTGATTCGATCTTATCTCCTTAAGTCGTATAAATGGAAGGAGCTGTACAAATGTTATTTCGGCAGATGAGGCAGCCAAACTTGCGTTGTTTATGGAACCCATCCAACTCCATACAAGTTAGTGTGGCTAGATACAAAGACAGAGGTTCATATCTCAAAGCGTTGTCAGGTGCCGTGCTCTGTTGGTTCTACTTATAAGGACGTGGTGTGCTGTGATGTCATCCCCATGGATGCTTGCCACTTACGGTTAGACCGACCTTGGCATTACGATTGTCACACTACACGTGATGGGTTCGCAAATACACATTCATTTGGTTAAGGATCCTAAACTAAAGTAAACAAAGTGATAAACTTATGGGGGTTTTGGGTTTTTTTATTAAAGATCATAAACTAAACCTAATCTAATATTTACGGGAAATAAGATGCAATGATAAATGAATTGTTGAAAGAATATCTCAAGGATGTCGACTCAAACTATAGACTCTAAACTCATAGGTGGCGATTTAGACTTTTCCAGTTTACTCTTATTGATGTCAAAGCATTTCCAGTTAGCCTCTGGGCGATTTATCTTCATCTGTTTCTGGGATCTGCATGGAACTAGAATAGATATGTGTATGATTAACCAACTCTCGCCATCGTAATCAACTAATCACTCAGATCTCACAACTAATTCTCGCTCTCATGCAAGAGATAAGATCATGCATCAAATATTGAATACGTCTGCTCACATTAAATATTGAATTCGTCTGCTTTACACTTAATGAATGTAAAGAGCTAGTTGACTGGAAGTTAGATCTATGTGTGTAGATTTTCGCATGACGGATCAACGAACTAGTTATGCTTGTATTTTGGTGAGAATTTTCTAGACTAGGTTCAAGTAAATGTTTTATGATAGGTTATGGTTAAGAAGGACGGTCACTGAGATATTGTTTAGTTCTTGTGGGGTTTAAAGTTTCTTTCCAGCTTAATCTATGTTTTGTTTGAAGACAAACAAAGGTTAAAGTCTGGAAAAGTTGATAACACCGGATTTTGACCATTTTTATGGATCATATTAATATCTTATGCAGGTGTTTTAACTCTGTTCTCAATGGTTTTTCAAGTTTTGTCAATTTTTAGGGTTTCAAAAGACTTTTCAGGAAATTTGGACTAAGGATGTGCAATTTGGAACAAATTAGCAATTTTGGATAAATGCAGACCGTCTGAAGTATGTCAAACGATGAAGGCCTACTCACCGTCTGATCACCGCAAAATTTTTAGACAACATAGAGGATACAACCAGATTTCTAATGCATTTGGCTTGGAGACAATCCAACAGTTAGATCTTCAGATACTCCCAATGCAGTAAAGACAGAAAATGCAGTCATGGAGGAGAGCACAAGCCGGGACCGCGGCCAGGCTATATTTCACTGCGGAAACAAGCACCACGACTGCGGCCAGTAGTCATTCACTTCCCAGACAACCTATTCCAGGCCCAAGTCGATTTCCTTCATTATATTTGATGCACTAGGTGTCCAAGACAACTCCAGAAACTATAATTACCCCCTTTAGGTCATTCTAAAGCGGCAGACGCAGGCGAAAATAAGGAGAGTCTGTGCACGAGTTTTACAAAAACCCTAGAGAGAGTAGCCTTCTTCGAAGGAGGAGCCGCCGAGGAGAGCATAATTGCGCCTCCATCTGCAACTCTTTAATTTCCAGCAACTTTAAATACTTTATGATGCTTTGTTACAATATGTTTAGGTAGTTTCCCAGTTGGGTTTAAAGATATTTTTCAAAGGGGATTTCGTTTGTCTTCTATGAATAGCTAGATTTAGGATCAATAATATTCTAGGTGTTCTTCGTTTACATTTATTTTTTACGGCATGATTCTCTGCTGGCCACTTAGAACTCGATATAAATATGATATGTTGCAAAACTTTTCACTGATTGTCTGACCGAGGGTGAAACGAGCAATTCTGTTACCATAGGAGTGGAAACCTACCTATGGGTGAGCTGTGAATGTTGATGAGTCTTGTTCAATCTACATCTACTCCCTTCCAGGACCAGAGTGGTAACCTCCTGGTCAGGGTTGCGAGAGATAGTTGGTTAGTGCTGCGAAAGTAGGCTAGTCATACTTCCATGCCTCGAGTACTAGAATATCCGTTGTCGATTACCTTTATCATTTATTTCTGTCAAAGGTTTAGTCCATGAATCCTTGCGAATACCCTTAAGCCTAGCATCCGTTTTTAATTGCTTACACCTTCGATATTAACTTGCTTTTACCTGCTTTCATTTTCAATTGCTTTTTACTTGCCTTCTAGTTTAGATTTAGAGACAACCCAAAACCAAAACCCAAATCTGTTTAGTTCTAGTCTGATTTAAGCATTAGAGTGAATTCATACTGAAACTACTAAGTCTCTGTGGATCGATATCCTAAGTACTACAGCGCACATTTGTGCACTTGCAGACATTTAGGGGTTATAAATTTAAAACCTGAAGCTTTGTAAAACCGACAACCCCGTTTTCCATTGCATCACAAGTGATTCCCATTTTTGATGGGGATAAATACGATTTCTGGCATATCAAGATGACAACAATTTTCAAAACCAGAAAATTGTGGATCAGGGTGGAAAACAGAGTTTCGAGCCGACCGACACAAAGTGAAGAGACTCCTGAGGTGTTGCAACTAAAAAGGAGATGGGAAGAAGAATAAACACAGTACTTGATGGCGCTGCAAATTCTACTAACTGCAGTTTCAAATCAGATATTCTCTCGCATAGAACCAGCACAAAATCAAAGGAGGCTTAGGATTCTCTGCTAACCGAATTTCAAGGGACTCCACAAGATTGATTGATCAAACTTCAATCGTTAAGAAGGGAGTATGTAAACTTGAAGATGAACGAGGGTGATAAGATCAAAGTTTTCACAAATAAGTTAATTGATTTGTGAAATCAATTAAGGGTTCACGGTGAAGAGAAGACGGACTATCAGATTGTCCAGAAAATACTTATATCTCTCCCAGCGAGATTTGATAGTATTGTGGCTATGATGGAGCAAACAAAAGATTTGATTTCATTGTCGGTAACATAGTTAATAGGAACTCTGAAGGTACATGAAAAACGTGTGTTCATTGTTCGACCAAGGGAGAAAGTTCTGATTTTAAATCAGAAAATAGCAAAAAGTGGTGTTGTGTTTATAAGAAAAACACCAACAGGGAAGCCGGCTGTTGGAGGATACAGAGTTTGGCTAATGGGCAAAAATGTTCAAGAAACAAAATTGAATGTTACAACTGCAGAAGAGTTGGGCATCTCTCAAGAGAGTGTCGTTTGAAAAAGTATGAACGAGCAGATATGACTCTTGAAGGTGAAGATGAAGAAGAGCACATGATTTTTAGTGCATGTGAAGAATCAGCAAAAATAATAGAAGAAGATAGCTAGGAAGTGGAGAACGGATAAGGCATATCACTTGAAAAAGACATCAGGTCTCAAGGTTTCAAGAATTAGGGAGAAAGCTTTGATTAAGACCGAAATTCAATTAAATGGGAATTTGATTTATAATTGAGTTTGATCTAAATTTTATTTGATATTTTAGTTTAGTATGTCAAGTCAAAGCGTGTGTGTGAAAAGATGTGTTTTAGAGACGTGTCTATTAAGTAAAAGTAGTTATTTATATTAAGAGTCACAAGAAAGAGTAGTTGCATGTATTGATTTTCATGTCTATTGAAGTCTATTTAAACGACTGCAAGACCCTGGGTCTCTGTGTCACGTGGGGGCTATTAATGTGGAGCAGTACCTTTTCCCGCTTCAACGTTGGAGTTCCTGGTTCACCTTCTGGGTTTGAACATGTCGATCTCAGTGTTGGTCGCAATCAGATGACATATGCCGGTAACAATCATTCCGCTGTATAAATAATATATGTACATATACATATAAACAAAGAGAATATGCAGCTAATTGATGGAGTGTTTTTGTCTAAATATATAGGTTTATACGGTGAAGGCGCAATTTTACAGCTCACCCAACGGAGACTGGCTGAAAATCTTACTGAGGATGAGCTGGCCGAGTTGGATGATGTTCATCTGGCGGACTGTGACCCTGCTTTTGAGGATGATGATTTGACTACTGCTTTGTCATCTAAAGTGAATCTCCTGGACACAGAAGGGAGGGTGTTCAGTGAGGAAGGTTTCCTACATGGACCGAGCATGACCAGAGAAATCGCTAACTTGAAACTTAGACCTCCACTCTGCGGAGGTACAACCCTCACTATAACGTTTTCCTAATAAGAAATATGTTAACATGTTAATATTGTTGTTATCGATTGTCAGGACCAGTATCCACCTTATGTCTCCAATCTTCGAGCAGTGTACCACCCAAAATGGCCCCACATGTTGATAAGGGAAAAGGCAAGATGCGCGAAGAAATTAAAAGGGACCCTTATCTTGGGTTAACCATTGGCTGCTTAGGATTTAATTGATTTCAAATGCTTTTCTAAAGGCTTTAATTAGTTTTACAAATTTTTGTTATGATTTCGATGTATTTGTAGTTTCAGGAAACTTAGGGAATATGATGGCAAAATGGAAGAAATCCATATTTTTAGCTCATAGTCGGACTGTCAAACGTTCAGCCTCAAATGAAGACTTTCTCACCGTCTGATCCAATTCAAATTTGGTGACAATCAAGAGGACACAACCAGATTTCCATAGCACTTTACATCACAAAGATCCAACGGTGCAATCATAAGATACATGGAGAACAAGTTGACCCAGTTCACCAGTCCCGGAAGACTCTCACCTGCGGGAACTACATGTTTTTCCTGCCCTGGAAGACTCTCACCCTCGGTGAACCATAGGACGAGCCACAAGGCCTAACATCAAAGCCCACTTCGCCATTTCTCTTCAGAGAAGCCCTAAATGAGACCTGGAAGACCTTAGGACCTATAAATACATTGTTTAGCAGCCCTAAACGGGTGTGTGCTCCTGTAATGAGATTTTGAGCCACCAAACTCTGTTTTTCTAGGGTTAAGCGATGGAGATGGGGATTCTTCCCCAGATCCATTGTTCTTTCTCCTTTTAATCTTATTAAATTTTCTGTTTCATTCTTTTGCATTCTTTCATGTCTTTCATCATTTATTGCATCATGTAGATTAGTCCCAGAGAGTTAAGTTGTTTGAAGATATCGACAAGCATATATATCGATTAGGATTTCTATTGTTCTAGACCATATTCTGGATCTCATCTCTTCTAAGTTGTTCATAAAGCATGAGAGTAGATTCATGACCTATTCTCTGAGCCTAGGATCGATAAGAGCCACGAGAGTGCTGTATCAGATCATCCGTACCTAGCTTCAGAAGAACATAGTCGTTATAGGAGTCGAGAACTACCTATAGAGAAGATGTGAGCAGACAAATTCAATATCTAATGCATGATATTAAGTTTAGCATGAGAGCGAGAGTTAATTGCTAGATCTAAGATATTAGTTGATTAAGGTGACGACAGTTGGTTAATCATACATATGTCTATTCCAGTTAAATGCAGATTCCCAAAAACAGATGAAGATAAATCTCCCGGAAGCTAATTGGAAATGCCATCATATATTGATTAGAGTAAACCAGAGAAAGTCTAAATCGCCACCTATGAGTTTAAGTGTCTTTAGTTTGAGTCGATATGCTTTAGATGTTCTTTTAACAATTCATCATGCATTGCATTTTTTGTGAATATTAGATTATGTTTAGTTTAGGATCTTAATCAAAACTCCAAAACTTTAATTGGTTTATGATTTTGTTTACTTCCAGTTTGTTGTTTCTCGCAGATTAGACATCCTCCCTGTGGATCGACACCCTAAGTCCTACAACGTACATCTGTACACTTGCAGACACTAGGGTTTTATAAATTTAAAACTTTTGGAGGACGAACGGGCTGGTTCAAAAAACAACCCTAGGCCCGCAAGCCACCAAGTTTTTGGCGCCGTTGCCCGGGAGGATTTTAGTCTCAGGAGGTCTAAACCTGGGAGGCTGAAGCCGCAGAAGACTATATATATGTCAAGTTTCTGCCAAAGCAACATAGGAAGTAAACCAAATTCATAAACACCCTAACTTTTTCTTTTTCTGCTCATTCTCTTTCTCTCTTCTGTTTGCCCTAGTTTCAGAAACCTTTGAAGCATGGATCATCTAAGGAGAAACCCTAAAACCATCTCCAATGATTACCTCTATTTTTTCCTCTAAAATAGAGAAACTCTAAAATAAAGGTGCATTTGTCTCCAATGGTTACCTCTATTTTTCCCTCTAAAAAGGAATATTCTCAATATATTCTTTTTGTTATTTGTTCTTAACACCTTTTATTAATAAAATTTATGAATTGACCCCACTTATTTTTTTTTTACAAAAACTTACACAAATTATAATAATACTAATTTTGATAAATAAAATTTGTGAATTAATCTTTTATTTTACTTTTATAAAAGTTTTTATAAATTATAGTAATACTAACTTTTGACTACTAAAATTTTTAAATTAATCCCACTTATGTTACTTTTTTATGAAAGTTTCAACATATTATAATAATATTAGAAGTAAAAATTCATTAAAAAATTTTTTTTTTAAAAAAATCATAAGTTTCAACAAATTATAATAATATTAAAGGTAAATTTTTTAAACTATAACCAAAATTATCACATTTCTATTCACAAAGAATTATACTTTTTGCCTAAATAGAAAGATTTAAAAGTTAAAGGACTACTTTACAAATAAAAAAGTTCACTTCTATTATAGAGGGAAAAAATAGAGTTCTTCTATATTTTGGAGAAAAAATAGCAATCTCTATTTTAGAGGTGAAAATAGAGGTGGGTTGGAGTATAATCTCTATTTTGACCTCTAAAATAGAGATGGGTTGGAGATGCCCTAACCCCGAGCGAAGTTCCTGCAACCTGTGTGAAGCTCCCTGCGCATGTGAATCACCCTCCAGGCATGATTTTGATCATCATCTTCGGAACCGTAATCCGAACCACCACCATGGAGACTCGCGACCTCCACACCATCGAGATGAACCCTATTCACCATGCCTGGTGAACCGTTGACCATCTCATCCTCTTCCTCATCAGATTCTGCACCAAAACGCTGAGGCTGATCAATTTAAGCTCCAACTGAATCGATTAGGGGCTATGCTGAATCAATACCTTGATTTTCAAGTTGTTACGGAATCTACCCTGTACAAGAGGATCGATGACCTCATTCACCATGTGAGATCGCTAGAAGATCTGCACTCTCAAGACATAGCTGCCCTAAAGAGGAAGATAGATGCTTTTGAGGAAGAGCAGCCAAGACAGAAGTATGATATCCTTCAAGGATCCATCGATACCAAGGCTACTAAGCTAGAGATCAAAGAGGCCAATGAAATCGCTTCATGGTACAGAGGAAAGACGGTGAACTTCAAGAGATTGAATTTTGCCTGAGCAAGCGAGCACAAGAGCATGGAAACCAATTCTGACATCAAGCATCTCTCTAATTGGAGACACAAACCTTGTTGTGAGGAAGATCTTTGAGAATCATAAGAAGGATTCTCTTGTTCATGGTCAGCAAAAAGAAGAAGAACCAACCAATTATGATGCAGGAGATCTCACAATGGACACCCATAATAACCCTGAAGACATCCTGGAATAGCAAGAAGGAGAAGCAGCTGGGCAACCTTCGGATTTCCTCACCGCGGCCGCGAGGATTTCATCCGCGGCCAGGCCCATCCTCACCGTGGTCGCGAGAGCTTCACCCGCGGCAGGGAGAGAATTATCCGCGGGAACGACTTCCCCATCCGAAAGAAACCTCCATCCCTGCCTGAGCTCACATCACCAAGACTCTGCAGACCTAGAAGAGCATGAATCTTACATCCCATGCATGAAGATCACAGAAGAAGAACCAGATGTCATAGATGTGGAGGATGAATCACCTAAGAGGATCGAAATGACATACATAGATTGGATCAACGAGTTTGATGCTGCAAAGTTCTATTGTGATTCTTATTCTGCATTTGAGGCACCAGATCATCCACAGGAAAGACCAGTTCAAACTCTGCACAAAGTTCAAGACAAAGGTCAATTTCTTATCTCTTCTGACATTAGAGGTGAAAGATTCCTCAATATTCTTTGTGATTCTAGAGCTTGCATTTACATGATGTCCAAAGCAACTGCTTTGAGACTTGGCATTAAGCACATCTGAAGTACCAGGACAAGATTAGCTTAGCAGATGATTCAAGTGCAACACCAAGAAGGATAGCCCGAGACATTCCTTTAAGGATTGGAGATTGCATTGCACCTGTCGATCTATACATAGTGAAGACCAAAGATTACTCTTATCCAGTTATTCTTGGATGGCCTTTCTTAGCAACTGCTGGAGCCATCATGGATTGGCCCAACAGGAGAGTTTCTTTTGCCAATATCGACAAGGACATCTTTTATGAGGCTACACCACTTAAGAGCAAAAGAGGTGCGCATATAGCCCATGCATTTGAACCAGAAGAACTCTGGAGTGATGAAGAACCTGCAAGACAGAAGAGGAGGATTTCGAAAAGGACTTGTCTTAGGACAAGATCCTATTTGAACTAAGTCTTTTTCTTTGCAAAGTCTAGCTAAGGGCTATAAACCAAAGCGCTTGATGGGAGGCAACCCATTTTAGGTACTTATTTGTTTTTGTTTAGCTTTCTTTTTCTATTAAAGTTTTGTTTCTTTTATTTTAGACAGGACTTAGTATGCTATAAAAAAAATAAAGAAGAAGAAAAGGAGCTGGCAACGGCCAAAGGACGTTCAGCCGCGGCCAGAAGGCGTTTTACCGCGACCAAGAAGGTCTGGCCCATGGCCGGCACGCGTCCCACCATGGCCGCGATGCTCCGACCCGTGGCCAGCACACCCGACCCGCGGCTAGCACAGCCGACCCGCAGCCAGCACAGCCGACCCACGCCCAGCACAGCCGACCGCGGCCAGCACAGCCGGCCACCTTGGCCACCTCTATTCCACCTTGTCCATCTCTATTCCACCTTGGCCATCTCCATTCCACCTTGGCCACCTCCATTCCATCCTTGGCCACTTCCATTTCCAGCACCACCTTGACCAAATCTGTTTTGGATCCCTAGCATCCAAGTTTGATCAAGCATCACCACCACAACCACCTCACAATCCATCACCAAAACCAGGTAAGTTTTCTATTCCTTAATCTTTTAAATTTTTCACATACTCTATTTCTCATCCTTGCCTGATTTATTTCACATTGGGGGCAGTGTGATTTAAATCTGGGGGAGGATTTCATCTCTTTCTAACCACCTTTTCTTGCATGAGCCTTTGCATTCTGCATTTTCTTTAAAAAATTTCAATTTTTTTTTCGATTTTTCTTAAAACTTTTCAAAAGTCTTTTGAGTTTCAAAAAAGTGTTTTCAAAGGTCAAATACATTTTGAGGGAATAATGACAAAATCGATGATGATAACCAACCTGTTTGCTTCTACACCAATCACTCATAAAAGCTCTTTCAAGGTTTAATACTAGACTAGGCGGTAGCTAGAGTACTTACACTACGAAATCCCACCAGAGGACTTCTATTCATGAAGATCTTTTTTGACAGGATATACTAGCTCATTTTACGTGGACATAATCTTGACATCTAATTTTCTCATCAATGGTTTTAAAAAGGCATCACGATACATCTAGGACATCTTTACCTTATTGTTACCACTCTTTGTTATCCTAGATTGCCAGTTCATCTTTAGCTGGTACCACACCCTTAACCCAAACCTTCATGTTCAAACCTCATGCATTCTCTTTTAAGTTTATATCGACAAATATGTGCAAAAACGCCGAAGAGAGAGGAACAACATAGTTTTCAGTCACTCAAGAGAAAGACTGAAAGAGACCAAAAGGGAGTGTGCCAGAAATCTTATGATGCCTCAGAAAAGCTCATTCTTAAATGTAATTTTCGTGCTCCCTAAGACTCCAAGTCAAAAGGCAGTTTAAAAAAAAAAGTAAGGAAAGGAAACCAAGAGCTAAAAGAGTCTTAAAGGCCGAAATCACCTGAGCCAAGGCAATAGATATTTACTTAAGGAGTTATGGATTCACAACCTGGACAAAAATCCAAGTCTGGGGGAACTATAAGGAGAACCTTAAGAAAGGAGATCAGAAATCTTGAAGCAAGAAGAATGTGACTGAAACTGTGGGGGCATTTACAGTTCTATCCTCTCTTGCTGTTTTGCATAATGTCCTGTCTCTCCAGAAAAAAAGGTAACCCTAAACACATCAGCCTTACCATTAAAAAGCCTTTTTGATACCTAACCTTGAATATCTTGTTTAATATCCTTTTGATGAGAACCACTGAAACCTTTAATGAATGTTAAGAGCTAGTTGAGTGGAATTTAGTTTTAAGTGTGTGGATTTTCGCATGACGAATTAACAGACTAGTTATGTTTGTATTTTGGTGAGAATTTTCTAGACTTGATCTGATTGATGCATTGTCCATAATTAAGGTCTAGAAGTATGGTTTCTGATATTTTTGAGTTCCCTCTCATTTTTGTTGAATGATATTTTTCCAGATTTGATCGTGTTTTGTTTGAGGACTAACAAAGTCTTAAGTCTGGCGGAGTTGTTAACACCTTATTTTGACCACTTTTCACCATTGAGTTCAAATGCTTTTTCAAAGGTTTTAATTAGTTTTAGGAACTTTTATTATGATTTAAATGTATTTGTAGTTTCAAGGCTCTTTTCAGGAAACTTAGGGAATATGATGGCAAAATGGAAGAAATCCACATTTTTAGCTAAGATCAGACCGTCAGAAGTTCAGCCTCAAATGAAAATTTCTCACCGTCCGATCGAACTCAAATTTGGCGACAATCAAGAGGAGACAACCAGCTTTCCATAGCCCTTTACATCATAAAGATCCAACGGTGCAATCAAAAGATACATGGAGAACAAATTGACCCAGTTCACCAGTCCCAGAAGACTCACATCCGCGGGAAACACATGTTTTACCTGCCCTGGAAGACTCTCACCCCCGGTGGACCTTAGGACGAGCCACAAGGCCAAACATCAAAGCCCACTTCACCATTTATCTTCAGAGAAGCCCTAAATGAGACCTGGAAGACCTTAGGACCTATAAATACATTGTTTAGCAGCCCTAAATGGGTGTGTGCTCTTGTAATGCGATTTCGAGCCACCAAACTCTGTTTTTCTAGGGTTAGGTGATGGAGATGGGGATTCTTCCCCAGATCCATTGTTTTTTCTCCTTTTTATCTTATTAACTTTTCTGTTTCATTCTTTTGCATTCTTTCATGTCTTTCATCATTCATTGCATAATGTAGATTAGTCCCAGAGAGTCAAGTTGTTTGAAGATATCGACAAGCATATATATCGGTTAGGATTTCTATTGTTCTAGACCATATTCTGGATCTCATCTCTTCTAAGTTGTTCATAAAGCATGAGAAAAGATTCATGACCTATTCTCTGAGCCTAGGATCGATAAGAGCCACGAGAGTGCTGTATCAGATCATCCGTACCTAGCTTCAGAAGAACATAGTCGTTATAGGAGTCGAGAGCTATCTATAGAGAAGATGTGAGCAGACGAATTCAATGTCTAATGCATGATCTTAAGTTTAGCATGAGAGCGAGAGTTAATTGCTAGATCTAAGAGATTAGTTGATTAAGGTGACGACAGTTGGTTAATCATACATATGTCTATTCCAGTTCAATGCAGATTCCCAGAAACAGATGAAGATAAATCGCCCGGAAGCTAATTGGAAATGCCATCATACATCGATTAGCGTAAACCAGAGAAGTCTAAATCGCCACCTTTGAGTTTAAGAGTCTTTAGTTTGAGTCGATATGTTTTAGATGTTCTATTAACAATTCATCCTGCATTGCATTTCTTGTGAATATTAGATTAGGTTTAAATTAGGATCTTAACCAAAACTCCAAAACTTTTATTGGTTTATGAGTTTGCTTACTTCCCAATTTGTTGTTTTTCGCAGATTAGACATCCTCCCTGTGGATCGACACCGTAAGTCCTACAACATACATATGTGCACTTGCAGACACTAGGGTTTTATAAATTTAAAACTTTTGGAGGACCAACGGGCTTGTTAAAAAACAACCCTAGGCCTGAAAGCCCATCAAAGGGCCGAGCAAGACACCATCGCTTCCCGAAGTGATATTTGATGCTCCCTCAGCCGATGAGAGCTAAGACTACATTGGTTATATTCATTTTTTAATACTGATGAATTCAATTTCATACGTAACCATTTATTTATTCGTTTTAGGGGATGGCACAAACAAACCGGGGGTTCTCTATGTTGGCATGGTGTTCAAGAATCAAGATACATTCAAGCTACATATGGCACTGTACGCTTTCACTAAGAAGTTCAATTTCCGGAACCACTAATCCACTCCAAGTATGATGGTGCTTGAATGTCTTGGAAGCGGGTGGGCTTGGCGTGTAACGCAGTCAAAATGGAAAGGATTGAATGGTTTCAGATAAGGAGAGCTAACTTAGTCCACAACTGCACGGTTGATGACAGGTTTTGCCAAAATGCACGGTTGACAACAGGTTTCACCAACATGCAATAGCAAGCGTCAATGGGGATATGTTCCGGGCTAAATACACGAGTGTAGGACCTGGTCCACGTCCAACAGAACTGAGAGATATGATGTCCCCATTACATACTGGAAAGCTTGGAGTTCCAGAGAGTTTGCGATGAATGCAGACCTCGGAACAAAGGGGTCATCCTATAGGGAGCTCCCTACTTTCCTCCAAAGATTGGTAACATCTAACCCGGGAACTGTGCTCTCCTTGGAAACAGAGTTCCAAGAAGGTGTGGGGCAGCGTTTTAAATACCTCTTCTTCTTCCTTGGCGCATGCTTGAATGGTCTGAACTACATTAGGCAAGTTATAGTGGTAGACGGTACCCATCTAAAGGGAAAATACGCCAGGTGCCTTCTAACTGCAAGTTATCAGGATGGTAACTACCAACTCTACCCTATAGCTTTTGCAATTGTCGAAGGTGAAAATGATAAATCGTGTACTTGGTTCTTTCACAAATTAATGGAGCTTATCCCAGACAAGAGCACTCTCGTGTTCGTGTCATACAGACACAACTCCATCTACACCGACATGCGAAAGATAACACAACTAAACTACGTCTCTTGTTGAATATATGTGACTGATAATGTGAACTTTACATAGCGTTCCAATTTGGTACCCGATAATGTTTGTGTTATATGTGTAACTATATGTGTACCAGCTTGTAAATTGACTTTTTATAGCTCTAACCAGATATTTAGTGGTGCAACTATTTTGTTACAGTCTAACTCTGATATTATTTCTTCTATAGATTGATTAAAACTATATGTGTACCGACCTGTAATTTAACATCTTATAGCTCTAACCAGATGTATATTGGTGCAACGATTATGTTACGGTCTAACTCTAATAGTATATATGTTCTTGATTGATTGGTTTGCTAAATGTAGGTTTATCCGCTTAGCGGACATTGTGTTTGCATTGTTCACCTCACTTGCAACATTCAAACCATATTCAAGAAGAAAAACCTGGGCTACCTAGTGTCAAAGGCGGCGAGGGCTTACACCCCAATTGAGTTCTACGGTCTATTTAGCAAAATACGAGCCTTAGACAGGGCCTATGGAGAGTACCTCACCAATATTGGCAATAAAAACTGGGCAAGATCTCATTTTCCTGGAGCACGATATAACATCATGACAAGTAATGTAGCAGAGTCTTTGAATAACGCCCTAGCAACAGCACGTGATTTCCCCATCATCCCCCTAATTGAGTTCATTCGAGCTAAACTAATGTGCTGGTTTAGCGAGAGGTGGGAGGCGGGAGGCGGCAGCTGCGACAAGTACATCTCTTACTCCAACAGCGGAGGAATTTCTGTCGGAGAATTTCGAACAGTCTACTGGTTTTGTTTACCAAAAAATCAATGATGATGAGTTCGAAATCAGAAACAAAGAAGGGGAGCCTTTCCTGGTGAATCTTAAAAAGAAGACTTGTACCTGCCATGAGTTTGAGATGCTAGACCTACCTTGTTCACATGCTGTCGTTACTGCAATGCGGTCTGGAAAAAGAGTCGACTCTTTTGTTGGGCTAGAATACACAACGGCTTTTTGGAGAAAAGCTTATGAATGCAGCATTTACTCCATTAATTCAGGTACTGTGTACAAAACGCCACCTGGACGCCCACGCAAGAAGCGCTTTCCATCACGTTGGGGAGTTCGGGGTAAGTGTATACATATCTCATTGATGTTGTCGTGTGTGAGGGTTGTCAAGTTTTACCCTAAATGCAAGGGGAAAACGGCTTATTCCCCCACGAACTTTATGCTTTCTGAAAATCCATACACGAACTATTGATCGATTGTAGTACTTAGGGATCGAATCCACAGGGAAAGAGAATCTTTCCTGCAAAAGCTTTTGAAAGAAATATAAAGTAAGGAAGTCTAGAACCAGACAATTTTTGTAAGGGTTTTGGTGGTGTCTTTAAAACGTAAAAAATAATATCAACGAGAAAATACGAGAATTAAAATGACCTAATAATTAGACTTAATGAAATCGACTAAAAACGAGAAAAATGGCTAAACCTAATTTCTTAAATAAAAATCGATTAAGAAAATGAAAATGATGAACTAAAGCTTGAATGAAAATCGATGTAAATCAATAGAAAAAAGAGGCGCTAGGTTTCAGGGAAATTCTCTCCAGGGTAAGAACGATTCAAATTATTGCTAAAGAGTAAATTTAATAAGATCCTAGCTAAAAATTTTCAAACTCGAGTCACGTACGTATGAATACGCCACTGTCGTGATCATAGACAACTATCTCTTGCAACCATGACCAGTAGGTTTCCACTCTGGCCCTGGAAGAGAAAATATGCAATATGTTTAAAACTCGTCAGGATTCACAAATCGCCAACAGGTAGGTTTCCACTCCTATGTTTGTTTTACTCTCCCAAACTAGATCTGACACCGGATGAATACTTTCATATCACCAAGAATCTGAATTAGATTGTAGTTCATGAGGTTACTCCCACGCATTAAAAGTAAATTCAGAAGAAAAAGTTCTAGGATTCTGCTTCAATAGCTAATGGAATCCTCATCGAACATATATAACTCCATCGAAAATCTCATTGACCCAACAATAAAACTACTCAGACATGATGAACGAAATCAAAAACATAGTATTAAAAAGCTGAGCAATAATCGAAATTGAAGAAGAAAGAAAGAGGGTTCAAGAGATAGATCTCTATCTCCCTAAAAGCTAAAGTATTGAAAAACTTAAAAAGTATTCTAAAACAATAAGAACATAAGATGGCCTCCTAATTAGGGTTCCTAAAACATTTATTTATAGTGCTCAAGATATTTCAGGGCGTCACTTAGGGTTTCTCCAAATGAGGGAATCATTTAGGGCTTCAGAAATGGGCCTTCTAACTCGGAGATGGCTGGCCGCAGTCGAAAAGGACGTGGCCGCGGGAAATGGATGCTTGGCTGCGGTGGGGTAGCCTCTGACCGTGGTGAAATGGCTGTTTGCCGCGGGTGGAAATGCTTGTCGGCTGGTTTACGGGACATCTTTCTCTTCGCGTAACTTTTGATTGAACAGTTGAATTGCCAAGCTGTAAAGTGTGCTGGAAAGCTGATAGTTCCATCTCTGAGGTCTCCAAATTTGAGCTGGATCAGACGGTGAGAAGGCCTTCAATCAGGGGTGAACTTCTGACGGTTTGAGCTGAAAATCTGGTCTTCTATCCATTTTGTTAACCTTTTCCCTAAGTTTCCTGAAAAGAGTCTTGGAACTACAAATACTAGAAAAACATAATAAAAGTACTTGAAAGAAATAAAAAACATAGAAAAAGTATTTCAAAGCGATCCACAAAAGTGGTCAAAATACAGTGTTATCAACTCCCCCAAACTTAAACATTTGTTTGTCCTCAAACAAAGCAAAAGTCTAAACTGGTTAAGTGAAAACAAAAATAGGAAATGCACAAATCTCAGAGACATGAACTCCTAAACTAGGACCATAGCTCGTACATCAATCCACAACTTAGTCTAGAAAATTCTCACCAAGACACAAAAGATACTAGTCCACTTTTTCCATCATGCAAAACTTAAACAATCTAAATCTTGATTCCAGTTAACTAGCTATCTACATTCATTAAGTGCAATAGTGAGTTCTCATCAAAGACATCATCCTGGGTAGACGGCGTTTGGCATTCAATGGATGTTTAAGTGGTGGAGTTAAAGTGTTTCGGGTTACCTGATAAATCTAGAGGATGCAAGATATTCTACAAAACCGCAAGAGAGATAAGGACCTGTTGATGACCGCAATTTTCAGTCACTTCTTCTTACCCAATGTTGTTGCATAATCCTTCCTCCTTTGTTGCAAAATGTTGTTTCCAGACTTAGATTCTTTCCGGGAATCAGAAAAAATGATCTCCAAAACTCCATAAATCGAACTATAGTTGTCTTGGGACTTAAAATTCGACCTCTCTAGACTTTCCAAGACTTTTATTTCCTTTCCTTTCCTATTTTCGGATTTTGTTTTTAAACGGGAAAATACCTTTTCAAGAGAGAGAGAGACTAGAGGACGAGATTGTACCAAAACTTGAGATTTTTCCAAGGCAAACTGAGCTTCCTCATGTGTTGAATCCTTCCGAGAACTTTTCCGGAAAAATCGCAGGTCTCTGTCTTTGGTGACTGAAAACTGTGACGTTCCTCTTTCTCTCCAACGTTTTTGCACATATCTGCATATAAGACAATAGAAAACAAGAGTGCATGAGGTTTGAAAGAGGCCTGGTTAAGGTGGGGAATTAGCTAAAGATGAACTAGTTATTCAGGATCAACAGAGAGTGGTAAAAGGGTAAAGGAGTCCTGAATGTATGATTTGTTTCCCTGGTCTAATGCTTTAATGAGAGAATTAAGTTCGTGTTAAGTCCAAATAAAACAGAGCTAGTGTATTCCTTCATCTAAATCAAAATCATTCAAATTTCTGTGGGGCACTTTGTTTCAAATGTGCTTAGCTACCGACTAGTCTAATCCTAAATTATGAATGAGCATGTCACTAGGAACATTCTAAAAGCACACAGTCAACTATCATTGATTCATGTTCACCATTCCCTTTATAACGTATTTTGTTTTGAAAACCGTTTTTGAAAAACTTCAAGGAAAATGCAAAAAAGTGTAGATAATGCAAGACTCATGAAAAAAAAGTGGTTATAAAGGGATGAAATCCTCCCCCAGACTTAAATCACACTGTCCTCAGTGTGAAACAACTCGAAATTGGATAAGAAAGATGCATAGATAATCGAATTTGGTAAGCCAAAAAGAACTTACTTGGATTCGGGATGCTGGTGGAGATGGACCAGATCCATTCAGAAAAGTTTGGAAAGGTGATAAGTGGTGATGGAAGGTGGTGGGAAGTGATGAATGAGGTGGAATAGGACTTGGTGAGGTGGATTGAAGTGAAGTGGGTGGTTTGGGGTCGGGTTTCATCTGAACGACCATTTGCAGTGGTCAGAGGTTATGCGACCGCAGTAAACTGGTGCCCGGCCGTGGTCAGAAAGACGTGGTCATGGTCGAACATGGCTTTGTTGTGGTCCGAGCTCTCGCGACCGCGGGGCTTAATAACGGCATGTTTCCTGTTTCTCCTTGGTTTCTGTTGGGCCGAGCAGTCAGGGACCATCTTTTTTTTTGGTTTTTTTGGTTTTTTGATTTTTTGGCTTTTTTATTTATAAGAAACTCCTGAAACAAAGAAAAAAAAAAAGATCAGTTGAAAAATTCTAAAGAAAACAATACCTAAATGGGTTGTCTCCTATTAAGCGCTTATGTTATAAGTCGTTTAGCTCGACTTTGGTGTAGGATGTGGCTTAGTCCAATGGGGATGACTTTGTCCTAAGACAAGTTTTTTTTTGGAAATCGTCTTTTTGGAAATCTCCTTGCTTTGCGTAGCAGGTTCTTCGTCATTCCAAAGTTCTTCTTCAAACTCTTCTGCTGCAGAATGTTTTCTTGCTTTGCTGTTGTATGGGACAGTTTCTGTGAAGACATCTTTAGCTCCGGAAGTTCATTATAGCTCCCTATATTAGCAAATGAAATTCTCCGGTTTGGCCAGTCCATTATAGCTCCAGAAGTTGCTAGAAAAGACCATCCGAGAATCACTGGATGTGCTGCGTCTCTTGTTTGACAATGTAGAAGTTGACAGGCACAATGCAATCTACTATCCTCAAAGGAATGTCATGGGCTGTCCTTTTAGGTGTAGCATTGTAATCATCAGCTAGACTAATCTTTGCTTTAGTCCTGCGCAGGTGTTTAATACCAAATCTCAAAGCAATTGCCTTGGACATCATGTTGAGACAAACTCCAGAATCACAAAGTATATTGTTAAACATTTCACCTCTAATGGAACAAGAGATGAGAAACTGACCTATACCTTCAATTTTGTGAAGTGTTCGAACAGGTTTACCTCTTCTGGCATGATTGAACTACATCACTGAACTCATCGAGCTTCTCTTTGCTGATTTGGTTGGTGTAGTAGCTGCATTCTTCAGGTTTTTGAAGGTGAATTGCATAGACAGCTGCTTCTGGTGATGTTAGGTATCGAGCTCGCATAAAGTACTTATGGATGTCTTCTTTTGACTCATTACAGTACCTGAAAAATACATGTAGGCAACAAAATTTCCAGATATCATTAAAGCTTAGGTGAGCAGGGAATGTCTTGACAATATTGTTAAACTCTGTCACCTTCTCTCTACTGATGTTGTTAGTGATCCATTGAATTTCCCCCGTACTTTCTTCTGAGGAATATCCTGCATCTCGATCCTTTACGAACAATCCATATTCTTCATCTTCAGAGTATTGCTCTTCATACTCGTCTTCACAAGACACGGCCATTTAGCAGGGTAATGGCTTGTCTTTGTCTTCAGATTCTTGAGTGCTGATGGAGTATATCATCCGTTGGATGGGAGGTTTAGCTTCGCCTAGGTGTGCTTCAGATGAGCACCTACTCTTTTGAGTTGCACGATGTTGCTTTATGGAGTTGCAGGAGTCGGCTTTGACTACAGAGGGCGAGACCACGGGGAAACGGCTGTGAGCCCCGGGCAGACTAAGCACAACTGCGGCTGGCCGCCTCTTGGCCGCGGTCACAGGGCTCGTGTCGATTGTAGCACTTAGGGCGAGCTAGGGTTGATGTCGCAAAAGAGTTTTAAATTTATTAACCCTGTGTCTGCAAGTGCACAGCTGTGCGTTGTAGTACTTAGGGTGTTGATCCACAGGGAGAGTTGTATTTTCTGCAGAAACTTCAAACTGGATTAGTAATCGAAGTCAAAGACCAATAGGGGTTTTTGTGGGGTTTGTGTGACACTGAAAACGAAAAAATAAAACACGACTAAGACTCTACTAAAACGAATGTTGGGCTGACAGGGATATCTCAGGGGATATTCGATTCATGCTAGGGTTCTAAAGCTCATAGGTGGCGATTTAGACTTCTCCGGTGTACTCTAATCGATGTTTGTTGGCATTTCCAATTAGCTTCTGGGCGATTTATCTTCATCTATTTTCTGAGATCTGCATGGAACTGGGATAGACATATTTATGATTAACCAACTCTCGTCATCTTAATCAACTACTCACTTACCTCGGCAATCAACTCTCGCTCTCATGCCGCGAATAAGATCATGAATGAGACATTGAATTTGTCTGCTCACATATTCTCTACAGGTAGCTCTTGACTCCTGTAGCGACTATGTTCTTCTGAAGCTATGTTCTGGCAATCTGATACAACACTCTCGTGGCTCTGATTCCTAGATTCAGTAGTTAGATCGCGAGTTTAACCACATGCATTATGAACAACTTAGAAGAGATGAGATCTAGAATATGTCTAAGAAAACAACAGCAATCCTAATCGAATATAAAGTCCCCTTCGATGGATCCCTTAAAACCAACAACTAAATTACTCTGACATTATTAAAGAAAGCATAAGCAAGGAAATAGATAGCATAAACTGAATAGATGAAAAGAAACAACAAGGGTTCAAGAGAAGAATCTCTATCTCCTTAACCTAAACCTAAGAAACAAAAGTTGGGTGCCTCCCTATCAAAGGGAAAGGAGCACGCACCCCAAAATTAGGTTTTCTAAAATACATATTTATAGGTCTACAAGTGTTTCTGGTCGTCCTTAGGGATTTCTATGAAGAGAGAATGAGTTAGGCTTTAAAACAGGCTATTGGGCCATTTATGGGCTTGTCGCAGAATTGGGCTCTCCAAGCCTGGTAAATGCAGGTCCACCGTGGGTGAAGGCTCTGAGGCGCGGCCAGGCTAGTTTTCACCGCGGTGACGAGCTCCTGGACCGCGGTGGTTGGTCTATGATGCCCAAACTCCATTCTTCCTCTTGCTTCTTTTGCGAGACTGCAGAACATGTCTTCAGTAAATTGGAAATAATTTATGATCCAACCGTTAGATTTTTTTGATTTTATTTTCATTGGAAATCTGGCTGTGTCCTCTATTTTGTGTCCAAGTTTGAGCTTGATCAGATGTTGAGAAGGTCTTCATCGGATGTGAAACTTCTGACGGTCCGAAATTGGCCAAAAGTAGATTTTTCTCCAATTTGCATTGTTTTTGTCTAATTAACCTGAAAAGTTTTTTAAAACTCCAAAATATGGAAAACACTTATAAAACCTTTAACACCTGCATAAGATACTGAAAGTGATGAAAAAGACATTTTGATATTTGAAATCCTCTTTTTCTTTTTAAAATATGTTTTTCCTAAGAAAAATTTATTTTAAAAGTTTTTAAGGACGTACATGGACGTTAACAAGAAGAGATGCCATTGTTGTTCTTATTGAATCTCCTTGAAGAGATACCAGTACAGACCATTTGCACAAAAACTTGCATAACCTCTTGCTCAATGTTCCAGTATTTTATTTTCTAACTCCATGAGATTGGTGACTCAAACAGCTTCAACTTTGATGAAGGGCCCGAATGCTTCCGGGAAGAGCAAGGCTCCCGTCTCGCCGATTCTTTAATGTGCATCTGATTGGTCTAGCTGCGAGATTATTCATCTTCAAACGGTCATATCTTTCAGCCCACTGCTCCAAATCGTATGATTCCAAGTTTTCTAGAAAGATTACTTTATTTTCTACAAACGTTGTTAAGACACCAAAGTCTGAATCGAAGTGTAAGGCCTCTGTCTCAGGCAATCTTTCCAATGCGTTGTCAGGTGTAGGTTAGGCTGGCCGCGGGTGAGGAGATGGGTCGGCCGCGGGTCAAGGGGTCGTGGCCGCGGTACAGGTGAGGCTGGCTGTTGGTCAGGTCCTCGGGGCCGTGGTAAAACATTTTTTTTTTGTGTTTTGTGTTTTTTTTTTGAAAATCTGAAATTAAGAAAAAAAAAACATTATTGGAAAAAGAAAGAAAAACTAAAAGAAAACATACCTACAAAGGAATTGTCTCCTCCAGGATCAAAAACTAGTCTTGGAACTTCTCTGGGATATGAATCTTCAATGCTTTCTCCTTGTGACAAGTATTGAGGAGAGAGCCTTGAGGGCCATCTATGGTGCACTTTGGCTCCATTTGAGTCTTGATCACGTCCCATATGAGCAAAGATCAGGTGTGCATCAAAAGAAACCTTGTTGCACATTGAACTTCTTTGGTTGATGTTTTGATGAAGTGTGAAGGGTGGACCTTCTTCTATGACGTTTTCAGGGACCTTTGTAGCTCCTCCAGGATCAAAAACTGGTTTTTCTCCACTGTTTATGGTCAGGCAAAGAGAGTTCTTTGAATCCTTTCTCATCTCCATAACATGGAAATCATTAGGAACAAGACAATCTTCCACTTGAAGAGGCAAACTGGGTGTGAAACCTAATAGAGCTGAAGAAGAAAGATACCCAACGTGAATATAAATCATAGATGAAAAAGTTTTCGAAATACTTGTTCCCTCTAAGTTCTATTCTATGCTCTTCTTCAGGAGCTTCAATTCTTTCTTCTAGAGTTGCAACAAACTTAAGATGTTGCTCTTCTACCGACTTCACACGCTCAGAAAGATCATTAAACTTCTTGTTGAGTTTAATGTAGTTGGAATCAAGCTCCATACGAATGGCAGCAACAGGTTTAGCATGAGATTTATGCATCTGCTTCGTCATAGCATCAACTCGGCTAAGCTGGAGACTTAATTGATTATGCAGAAGACTTAAGCGATTAGACTCATCATCCTGGTCCAGAATTTGATGAGGAGAAAGGTGAGATGGTCGGTGGTTCACCATAGGGGGCGAATACACTTCATATCGGTAGTTTGATTTGCCATAGGTGTGAGAGTTTTGAGCAACACACAGGTTATAACACCCTCGCCCAATGATCTCATCTTGCTCCCTAGGAGAATACATGTTCCAGAATACCTGAAACAAAGAAAAACAATACAAAAAATTAAAAGAAAAAGGTGTCTAAGAGTCGGGTTTACGAACCTATGAAGTTTGGCAGAAGCAAGAACGAATCTCTCCCCGGCAACGGCGCCAAAAACTTGATGCGAGCTAGGGTTGATGTCGCAAAAGAGTTTTAAATTTATAAACCCTGTGTCTGCAAGTGCACAGCTGTGCGTTGTAGTACTTAGGGTGTTGATCCATAAGGAGAGTTGTCTTTTCTGCAGAAACTTCAAGCTGGATTAGTAATCGAAGTCAAAGACCAATGTGGGTTTTTGTGGGGTTTGTGTGACACTGAAAACACTAAAATAAAACAAGACTAAGACTCTACGAAAACGAATGTTGGGCTGACAGGGATATCTTAGGGGATATTTGATTCATGATAGGGTTCTAAAGCTCATAGGTGGCGATTTAGACTTCTCTGGTTTACTCTAATCGATGTTTGTTGGCATTTCCAATTAGCTTCTGGGCGATTTATCTTCATCTATTTTCTGAGATCTGCATGGAACTAGGATAGACATATATATGATTAACCAACTCTCGTCATCTTAATCAACTACTCACTTACCTCGGCAATCAACTCACGCTCTCATGCCGCGAATAAGATCATGAATGAGACATTGAATTAGTCTGCTCACATATTTTCTACAGGTAGCTCTCCACTTCTGTAGCAACTATGTTCTTCTGAAGCTATGTTCTGGCAATCTGATACAACACTCTCGTGGCTCTGATTCCTAGATTCAGTAGTTACATCGCGACTTTAACCACATGCATTATGAACAACTTAGAAGAGATGAGATCTAGAATACGGCTAAGAAAACAACAGCAATGCTAATCAAATATAGAGTCCCCTTCGATGGATCCCTTAAACCCAACAACTAAATTACCTGACATGATTAAACAAAGCATAAGCAAAGAAATAGATAGCATAAACTGAATAGATGAAAAGAAACAGCAAGGGTTCAAGAGAAGAATATTTATCTCCTTAACCTAAACCTAAAAAACAAAAATTGGGTGCCTCCCTATCAAAGGGAAAAGAGCACGCACCCCGAAATTATGTCTTCTAAAATACATATTTATCTACAAGTGTTTCTGGTCGTCCTTAGGGCTTTTTATGAAGAGAGAATGAGTTGGGCTTTAAAACAGGCTATTGGGCCGTTTATGGGCGGGCCGCAGAATTGGGCACTCCAAGCCTGGTAAATTCAGGTCCACCATGGGTGAAGGCTCTGGGGCGCGGCCAGGATGGTGTTCACTGCGGTCACGAGCTCCTGGACCGCGGTGGTTGGTCTGTGATGCCCAAACTCCATTCTTCCGCTTGCTTTTTTCGCGAGACTGCAGAACATATCTTCAGTAAATTGGAAATAACTTATGATCCAACCGTTAGATTGGTTTGATTCTACTTTCATTGGAAATCTGGTTGTGTCTTATATCTAGTGTCAACGTTTGAGCTTGATCAGATGGTGAGAAGGTCTTCATCGGATGTAAAACTACTGACGGTTCAAAATTGGCCAAAAGTGGATTTTTCTCCAATTTTCATTGTTTTGCCTAATTAACCTGAAAAGTCTTTTTAAACGCCAAAACATGGAAAACACTTACAAATATTTTAAAACTGATTGAAAACACTTGCATAAGATACTGAAAGTGATCCATAAATATGGCCAAAATCAGGTGTTATCAACTCTCCCAGACAGACTCTTTAAAATGTAAATAAAAAGAAAAATAAAACAATTCCTAAGTTTCTGACTAGATTTAAAAGACAAAAATA